TAGCTAGTGAGTAACAGAGCCAGGATTCAATCTAATGAGTGAGATAGCACTGTTTGATGGCGGGCCGTGTCCTAGGACTCGCAGTCAAACCATATTTGTAACTAAGATTCCACTTAGGCTCGAGGCTGACCTTGGTCCTCGGCCAAATGCCCCATTATCCTCCCAGCCTCCAGGCCAACTCCCAGGTCTCTTATACTTTTGAAGCTGAGCTGATGGTTTGTGTAATGCCCTCTCCATAAGTGATTATGTCTGGCTATCATACATTAAGTGCTTTCTGTTTATAAGGCATAATACTAAGTGTTGTAAGGCATTCAGACCTAAATGGTGCCTGTCTTTAAGGAAGTTACATTCCAGTGCAGGAGGCACTTAAGTGCTTAACAATTTTAAAAAGCAAATTGAGACATAGTATAATCAATGATAATCCTTTGGGTTTTCTTAAATGTTTGGGGGAAAAATGATAGATACAGCTTTAGTGCAAATCACCAGTTCACATAACTTCATAGGACGATAGTTATTTTTGTAACAGTCATAAATTCATACTTCACACTCACAGTCTTTTTAGTATTTGTTTATATTAAAATGTAAGTGGTTTTACAAAGAAAATCCTATTTTATGTTGAATGTTAAATTTTAATCTGTACTTTAAAAAATTTTTTTAACCCAATTTATTTATTTTGTCTTAGACTATAGTTATCTAACCGCTGATTCAGCTTCTCAATTTGGATGTCTAATAAGCATTTTATACTTAACATTTCCACGATTGAACTTGTGACTCTCACCTCCCCACAGGGCTTACTCCTTACCTGGTCTCCTATATCAGTAAATGGAAACTCCATTCTACCAGTTGTGTAGGCTAAAAACCCTCGAGTCATCCTTGATTCCTCTTTCTTGATTCCATCTTACAATAGCGTCCTTACTGGTCTCACTGCCTCCATCATTATCCCAATCCAATAGGTTCACTTCACAAAAGCCAGAGTCGTTCTTCTAAAATATAAGTCAAATCACATCCCTCTGCCCAAGACCGCCCTCCTCTAGCTAGAGTCTCTCTAGGCTCTAGCTACAAACAGCATATCGTGGTAAGAACTTCCCTTCCAATCAAGGAGTAGGTTGAGAATATGTTCCTTAAACCCTCCCCTGACATGGCTCAGACTACCACTTGGACTAAGTGGCATGCCTTTTTGTAGCAGAGAAGCACCCTGTCCGTCTTCCCACCGTCTCTCGAAATGCAGGTACTCCTAGGCCGTATAGAGATGGTAAATCCTCCAAATGTCTCCACCCCTATTCCTGTGGTCGCCCCTGAGGCCCGCAGAGAGTGAATGGGGGAAATTCCCACTGATGCCTGGTATACAGAGGCCTGGAAACAGACACAACTGTAATAGCCAGTGGGTGAACTCAGAGCAGTTGGCTAGTGAGCCTTGGCCATTAACCCTTTGCACCAACAGTTGGGCTGTTCTAAAAGGATTAACCCTATGGCTTGGATAATGGAAAGCCGAGGGGTAGATGATCATAAATAAGCCCTTGTGAGGTCAGGATACGTGGAAAGCCATGTGGGTTTGCCTGTAAGAGCCTCAGATAATAATCCTCACTATCTTCTGTGTCCTAGCTCATAAGGCACTGACATCTACTGGCAATCAGGAAGCTGGTACCCTAGCCGAGGTATGAGCCCTAGCAACTGACCCTTCAGTAGATACAGCAGATTGGGTGCATAGGAAGAGGAGCCACTGTTGCACCTGGGTGGGATGGCGTATTGCCAAGTATGCCACATTGCCCTTGAAATACAGTGCCTTGGTTAATGCAGTAACAGCATGCTGTCATGTATGTTCTAAACAACACTCAAGACATGTACCAAAGGAGTCTGGAGCCATTCACCAGAGTTCCCAACTGGTGAGAGATTGGCAGATTGATTATACTGGCCCCCTTCCTCCAAGTGAGGGTTCTAAATATGCCCTGGTTTGTGCGGACACTGCATCTGGCCTAACCTAAGTTTTACCCCGTCACCACGCAAACCAGGCTGCCACCATTAGATTAGAGAAGCTGAGTACCATGTGTGAATACCCTCGTCAAATAGACAGTGATTGGGGGTCACATTTCAAAGATCATGATGTGGGAGACTGGGCAAAAGAACATGATGTTGAATGGAGATTCCATCTCCCCTATAACTTGCAGGTAGCAGGGTTCATAGAAAGGAAAAATGGAATATGAAAGCAGATTAAATTACTAACAAGTAAAACCAGTGCCAGACTGAGGATCCCTGCCAAGAAACCCAGGGCTGAAAAGGTACGGAAGTCGTGGGAACCAGCCATTGCCCCAATTCTTAGTGTGGATCAACGTGCTGTGCTGCCGAGGACACCAAGCCCCATCACACCTTGGAAAGGATTATCTACTGGAATTGGCAATGGGACGTTCCACCGGGTTGGGTGAGTTACTTCATACCCCTGGGTGAGGCAGAACTACTCAGTCTCCACTGGGATCCCATTGTCCTGCTGCAAGGGGGATCTGGAATGCATTTACCTGGAATGGAACGTGGTCCACTGAAAGAGGGGAGAAGGTGAAGATCTTGGTCTTGCATATCCCACCCCCAGTTCATCTCCTCATGCCTGATAGTGCTGCCTCCCGTGGCCAAAACGTATGGTATGCACAACCAGGTCAGGTTCCAAAAGCTGCCAGCCTCCCTCTCCTAAAGGCAAGATGGGCAGTTCTGCTTTCTACTGGTACACTCATTTGGCCATTGTCTTTTTTCCCTCCATTGGCCTGGAGGATGTTATAGCACGTATACCAGCCCTTACTAAATTTACCCAACAAGCCTTAAGTGATAGCTGGCAAAGCCTCTCTTTACCAGATACTGAAATGTCTAATGAGAAACGCTGTTTTCCAAAATAGAATGGCTTTGGACATTATTACTGCCTCACAAGGAGGCACCTGTGCCATCATCCAAACGGAATGTTGTGTGTTCATACCTGATGAGTCTGCTGATGTATCATCTTTATTAAATCACTTGAGGACACAAGTGAACCTGAGTGATCCAACCTCCAGGTTCGGGGACTTAGTAAACCAATGGTTCGGATCATGGGGCTCTTGGTGGATAAAATTAGTACTTATTTTGGGAGTCATCTTAGTCTATGTGTTCTCTTGCATGTGCTTATATTGTTGCTGTGGGATCTGCCTCCAGTGTAGCCAGATAGCTGCCAAACAAGCCACCTCCATGCTGGTGAAAACCCTTGCTGACCGCTCAGGGCACATTGCGTGCAGAAGAGGGGGACATGTAAGATTGTAAGAGCCACTCATGAAAGGTGGAGTGTTGGAAGAGGTAATCAAGAAGACGTGACTGCCAGTTGACCCTCGAGCTGGACCTGGGCAATCTGAGGCTCCTCACTCCCTCCCCTGTCCTTGGAATGTACGCTCTGCCTACCATTCCCACAGGGGGAGCTATTCTGAGGACATAGCCTTGAGAGAGTAAGGTTTGTTAAGACCATGTTGACTGAACACGGGACTGAACCCAGTTAAGGCCTCTATATAAACTTTTAAGATTCTGGTGGGTGGATGTGGAGATCTACTCGTCTTGTGGTTGCCCAAGACAAGCCTCGTAAGTGAGTTCCCTTGCTCATTATAACCACCGCTTATCAATCTGGAGTGGTCTGCCTCTTTCTTTGGTCTCTCCTTGCCGTCCATGTATAGCGGCCAGTTTGTGAAGTAACACAAGTTGTGCCTCTTACCCTCTCCAGTGCATCCAAATTTGTGTTTTTTGGCTCCAGCGGTGTGCTGCAACTTCTCTTCTGGAAACCTGGACTTCTACAAGAGCCCTCTTGTCCATGGGTGATTGTCTAAGCCATTTTCCAGGGGCTCTCGAATTGAGGCCGTGCGGGGCTAGAGCCAGTTCACAGGCTACTGTGGGGTCCCCAGCCAAGACCGAGGGCTGTATGCCTGTTACCCAATGCAAGCGGGTGAGAATCCTCTGAGGTCCCTTGGTTGGATCCCACAGCTGTCCCAGAGGCACTTTTGTCTGTGGATGGATGCCTACTTTTTGAGGGCAAAATGAGGGACGTGTTTTTCCACTACAAAACTGATGTTACTCCTCAAGGGTATGTTGTTTGAGTCTGCATTTCTTTGAGACTGTGCACTATTTGTCTCATGTATTTCTTCTTTGGGAATTACCTGACCATGTCTTTTGCCCATTTTTCTTTGGAGGTGATGCCATTTTTTCCTTTTAAAATTCCTTATATATGGAGGGTGTCAATAGTTTATAATAAATATGGCAAATAATGCTGCTAGCTTGTGCCTTTCAATCTTGTTTATAGTACTTTGCTATTTTTTTTTTTGTTGTCAGAGTATCCTTCTTTTTGATCTTTTTGATATTTTCTTTTTTTATCATTTGCATGATGATCTATATAAATTTAACAGCACATTTTTTACATCTGCCACCAAAAGGATCAACTTTGGAAGAGACCGATTACTGGAAAAAGTGATTCATTATAAAAATAAAGAATGAGTAACTGTAGTTTTAAAAGTGCAAAAATAGTAAAATCCTGAAAGAGCCCTTTATAAGAGCAATGCAAAATATTTAATATACATCAGAGTATACACTTCATAATTGTGCATTCTCTGCCCCACCTCAGCCCCCAAAATCTTGTATTGATCTGTGTGGTCGGTTTGAGAGGCATCATAATGTGGAAGTGCAGGAATCAGCAGGATCAAGTCCAAGAAGAATGAAGCCAGAGGGTTTTGTAGGACCCAGTGTGAAAAGATATTTACAGTAGGAATTATTCACACTGTTTAACCTTTCCCACAAAAGTTAATGGGAGTTTTTAAAGAACTCTTTTTTTTTTTTGAATGCAGAAATGATCTTCAGTATTCCAAGAGGGAGATGCTATATTTACAGGCATTTTAGACAAGATGACTCCAGTCATATAAAAGTTTAGTTTTATTATAGGCACTTTGTGCAAACATTGAGTACCTTTTGCTACTTCTATAATTTTAGCAAGGCGGTCAGCTATAGTCCAAATAAGAAAATATAAACCACAATTATACACTTTATTACCAAAATCTACTTTGAAGTATTTTATAAGTTTCATAATGCAATTAAAACCATTATTTTACTCCATTTGATGATGATTCTTTCTGTTTCTTTCATTATAGTCTCTGAAGACTCAGAACGTGGTGGAATGATCTCCCACTGTGGCAGGAAATGTTAAACAGGTAACTCTACGTAGTTTATTGAGTAAGCACTCGCTTTTTAACTTTGATTAAATGCCACATTTAACAAATATTAGAAAATGTTTAACAGCTCATATGGTCACAGTTCACTAGCGCTTTGCTCCAGCCTGGACGCTGACCAAGGTAAAATAGACGCCTTTCTGCGCCAGCAGCTGTTGGTGCGTGCCGTGCTCCTTGACTCTGCCGTTCTGAATCACCACTATCAAGTCTGCGTTCTGGATGGTGGACAGGCGGTGAGCGATCACGATGCAGGTGCGGCCTTCTCTGGCCTTGTCCAGAGCTTCTTGGACAACCTGTTCAATGATCACATAAATTGATTCTGATAAAAATAGTCCTCTCCATGACAAGCCTTCCAATTTCTCCAGCCATAGGTCCTTCTATAACAATGGTGTCAGTGACACATAATAGATTTTACAAAGGAAAGGATTTGTCATATCAGAATATTGAGTCCTAGTTTGGATTAATTCTGAGGCAGGAGTTATCTATTCTCAAAGTTGTGACAATAAATACCGTCCATCAAATCATCTAAAGACATTTACGGGTATGCCTAGCCACATAACATCCTTCAAAGCAGCCCTTTAGTCCAACTCTGCAGAAGACTGAACAGAGGCCAAACACAGCCTCCTCGAATTTTGGGATTGTTAAGATAGGGAACATCTCAGAATTAGTTTGTCTTTCAGATAGCTAATACTCAACGTTTTCTTGAACTGAAAATGATTACTAATATTTATCTTAAGGTATAGTCAGCTTTTAACATTGTATTGCCCTCACTTTTTTATACAGTTGCTGAGAAGATGCTGCTGGTAGAAATGAGAAATAATGGCTCCTAAATGCAGCTTCTCAGGTCAATACACAGTGATGCAGTGCTGTTTCTGGGAGGACAGGTGCTTTACTTTGCCTTGCTTCATCTTAGGTCTCTTGAATCACAGCTACAGAAAGTGTTTCAATTCCACTGAAAGCTGACATAAGTAACAATCAACACATCTGGCTAAATTTTATTCTCTACTGTGGAAGATAAATTTAAGAAGGATAAATTTAAACTCTTTAAGGATGACTGATTCAAGCATAAATGAGTCCAATTTAAATTCTTACCTTCTCACTTTCTGTATCCAGAGCTGATGTAGCTTCATCCAAAAGCAAAACCTGAGGCTGTCTCACAAGGGCACGAGCTATGGCAATGCGCTGTTTCTGGCCGCCAGAGAGCTGAGTCCCTTTGTCTCCTACTCTGGTGTCATATTTCTGTCAATAGGGTTTTGTGATTATGAAAAGTAGAACTAATAATAAAGTTGTAAAAAAGAGTCTGCTTACAGAAAACAGGATGACTGCTTCCATACACACAAAGAAGGTTCAGGTACAGCAGCTAAGAATAGGTTCATAGAGAGTTAAACAAAAACATAGCTCTAAATGGCAGGTTTGATTTCTCTCCTTGAAAATAGACATTTGGGTCTTGAAAGTTCTGTTTTAGTGTAAGCAAGTCAACATTTTTATGAGGAAGCATATTGTTGCAATGTTAGTCTCTGCCACTCTTCTGATTTCATTATATTTGGGACAAAGACTGGTAGGAGGAAGGAAATTTGATTTGATTAGGCTTGCATAATAAAATACCTGAAGCTCATTTTATTGATAACCAGCAGGTGACACTCTCTGCATTATTTTAAAGTGAGGAAGGGAAGAAATTCTTGGGATGCTAGCCTTTTGGTGTCTGTTTTTATAAAACTATCTCCAACACTTCAACACTTTTATTGGATGTTAAAGAATTCTATTTTGATATCTAATTTTAAAAGCTGAAATCTCTTTTTTTTATTTTTGTTTTTAGAGTGCTCCTGAAATTCTTCACATATTGTTTCCCACAGTACATAATTGGCACTAACTATTCAATATGATGATAGGGAGAGGAATTAAAAGGGTATGTTGGGGAGAACAGAAATGTGATGTGACAGACAGCATGTGTAACCTGGAAAACAATACTATCTTATGATTCTCAGGCCCTTGCCAGGCAGAAATTTTAGTCAAACTGTGGGCTCTGATTCTAGCACCCAGAGTTTGACTTTAAAAGCATGTTCAAAGTAGGGTTGTCTATTTTTATTTGCTGTTTCTGGCAACCCTAGGTCCTTGGCATCAGACACAGGTCTCCACCTGCAGATGGAGTGAGAAGACTGCAGGGGAGGTTCTGTCAGATGCTGGGGACTGGCTCCACCCCAGAGCTGCAGCTGCCTGGGCCGGGGAGCACTGCAGTGTGCCCAGGTGAGGTAGGGGTGCCAGGTTGCACTTATTAGTATGGATCCTGTTGAGGCAGTAAAGGCAGGGCTGTAACCCTGAAGGAAGGAGGTAACTAGTACGGCCCTGTGCCAGGTGAGGTAAGTCCAGGTATGAATCACTCAGGCGAAGAAGTGGGTCCTTAGACAGCAGACAGGACTAAGGGTTTTGCCTTCTCCTTCCTCGTCTAGACACTGAGGAAAAGAATCAGGACGTCTCCAGGTGTGCTCTGTGTGACAGACAGAGCCCAGTAGCCCAGGAGCCCAGAAAGGTGGAGCTCCTGTGGTAGACAAATGCCAGAGGGGCAAGTATAATCAATGAGCTAGATAACAGTTACTCTGTGTGATTGTCTTTGGTAAGCCCTAGCCCAGTGGTTCTCAAACTTCAGCCAGCGTCGGTATCACCGGGGCCATTAAAACACAGATTGCTGGACTCCATCTACAGTTTCTGACTCAGCAGGTCTGGGGTAGGGCCTGATATCTGCATTTCTCACACATTCCCAGGTGATGCTGATGTGCTGGTCCATGCTTACCCTTTGAGAACACTGACCTCATTGTTAGTAAAGGAGTCTGCACTGTGCATTTTACATGTTCTAGCCTTGGGAACGGCCAGTTAGGCAGAGTTGGGCTAGAAGGTTACAGGAGGGGAGGAGGAGAATGCCTCCTCCCTGGGGCCTATGATGTGGTGGCAGCAGTTATCCAAAGAGGAGCCTCAGGAAAAGGAAATCTTGGGAAGAGTGGGGGCCACCTGGTATTGCCATCCTTCTCCATGGGGAGATTGCCTTCCTCACCAGTCTGAGGCGACTGAGCTTTCTTTTTTAGGGGGCACTTCCTTACAATAAAGAACATAACTAATGATAATGGAGGCAGGTAGATACCAACCTAAGAGGCTTAAGAGAGGGCGAGAGGTTCCGTTTATCTAACTTCCTAGGAGGAATTCAGAGGACATCCACAGGATAACAGCCCAGGGAGCCGAGGGAAGGTTTCAGTAATCAACCCTGTAAGCAGAGCTTGGGGCCCATGAAATGTGCCATGGTGAGAGATTACACGACCCCATGGTCACTCAGTGACTCAGCCCTAATCAGAGAGAGCCTTCTGGCTAGCATGGGTCCAGTTCCCTGGCCTGACGCCACAGACGGAGGTTTGAGCCTTGGGGGAGAGCTGCATGGAGGCAGAAGGAAGACTGGGAGAGAAATGGGGAGGGAGGGTGATGCCTGCTTCTGTGGGCCCTGCACTTAGACTTAGAGGGAAAGGCCTCCCAAACATACGCGCTTTCAGTCAGGCTTGCTCACAGGGAGTAAGCTGGGTGATGAGCTAAAACGTAACATCGAATGGGGACGGAAAGTGTAGCCAGATGCTTGTTTACAGATGGGTGTGTGTTTTGGTTGCTCATTTCTCTTCACCTTTGGGAAACCAGCCCTTTAGAAATCAAACTATAGGCCACGGAGGCTGCCACATGCTCCTGGGCTCCTAATTTGGAGAGAGACTTACATCAGGCAGTGTCTCGATGAAACGGTGTATGTTGGCCTCTTTAGCTGCTTGCACAATCTCTTCCTGTGACACGACCCGGCTGTTGTCTCCGTAGGCGATGTTCTCACCAATGCTGCAGTCAAACAGGATGGGCTCCTGGGACACGATGCCCAGGTGTGCTCGCAGCCACTGGACATTCAGGTGCTTTATTTCTTTGCCATCAATCAGCTGAAAACAAGAGGTCACAGATCCACTTCAGGACAAGCACATTGTGAATTTAGCAAGATTAATATCATTATTTCATACATTAAAATTGCCAAGTTACTGTGAGAGTGCCCTTTGTTGTTGTTTTTAGTTTGGATTGTCAAGGTTAATTGAATAAGGTCATAATTTTATGCTTTGAGGAACTGTCATGTTTCTTCTGTTTTAACCCTGGTTTCTGATATATGCATGTGTTGGGCAGAATAATGCCCCCCCCAAGATATCCATGTTCTAATCCATGGGACCTGTGTGTATGTTATGTTACATGGCAAGAGGGAATTAAGGTACCAGAAGGAATTAAGGTTGCTAATCAGCTGACCTCCAAGTAAGAGATTATCTTGGATTATCCACATGGACCCAGTGTAATCATAAGGGTTTTTAATTGTGGAAGAGGGAGGCAGGAGAATGAGTATCAGAGTGGTGCAGTATGAGAAGGACTCGACCCTTAATTCTTGGCTTTCAGGATGGAGGAAAGGTCCAAGAGCTGGAAAATGCCGGAAAAGGGATTGTCCCCTAGAGCCTCTAGAAGAAACACAGCCCTGTTGACACCTTGGTTTTAGCCCCATAAGACCCATTTTGGACATCTGGCCTCCATAACAGGTAAGATAATAAATTTATGTTGTTTTAAGCCACTAAATTTATTACAGCAGCCACAGGAAACTAAGATAATGCATTATATTTCTGGAATGTATCCTGGTATCCTTATTCTTATCTATTGGTTATTCACAGGAAAAGTAGCCAAGATCAGAGTGGAAATAAATAACTACTATGACCACATAATAGGTTTCTGGTGAGGTTTCTGTTCTGACCTGAGTTAGTTAGGATCAGGTTTTTGAGGAATCAGATGCAGCAGTTAAATGGAATAGAAATGAGTGTGGGAGGGTGGCTGCTATATCTCTAAGTAGTTGTTGATCTTGGGAAAGTGAATTAATTTCTCTGACTGTTTCCTTGTGGGTAAAACAGGAATGATGATAATTCCTAAACTCAGAATTGAGGATTAAATGAGATCATGTAAGGATCCTACTTAGCACAGTGCTGGGCACAGAGGATGTGCTCAAGACTGTCAGCGGTTTGTAACTGGGTGTGTGTGATATACTTGGAATACAGGTGGATGAAAGGATGGACGAACATCTACAGTGCTGAGCCAAGGGAGTGGGAAGGAGAGGCTGCCCTTTCTCTACTCACCTGGCTCCCTTGATTATCCTGCAGAAGCCTGGGGAGTGCCCTTTACAGCCTTGCTGATAAAAATCCTTACTCTCTGATGCAGGTATACCTGCCCAAAAGATCTACGTTGCAGGAGAAGTCTGGCATTCAAGTGAGAGAGTTGTTCATCCCCTCTGAAGAAGACATCAGTGACTCAGCTTTGAGCTGTACTAATAGAGGTGATGAGTATATACTGAGCTGTACATACTCTCTGTATCCTGTCTGCCTGGCTGGGCACCTCTGGGAGACAGCTGGCCAGGGGTAAGGTACACTCTTTGCTGCAGGAGCACAGCTTCTGTTTGTGAAGCTGGTGGGTGCAGGAATGGAAAGCACAGTCATGACCTTATTAGTACCAAGCCCAGTTGCCATGGAGACTATTCTGAGCATCTGCGCTCCAGGCTTCCTTACAGTGTCAATTGAAGGTGGAAAGTAGAGGGTGGAGAGAGGCAGGAAAAACCATGCAAGGATGTGGCGAAACAGCAGATCTTGTTAGATGGAACACTGTACTTGAGAAATGGAAATTTGAGGAAAGAAGGAGTGATTGGTTGTTTTTTTCTTTTTCTTTTTTTCTAGGCTTATGCCCCTGGGAGGAAAGTAGACACTGCCTAGGTAATATCATCAGACAAATTTCAATAATCCTAGCAAGTTTTAATGACTTTCTCTGTCACACTGAATACAGTAACACTCTTGGGCCTCCTCATCTCCACATGATACACTAGAGTTGCAAGGTATCTAAAACCTGTGTTAGCTGAAGAATTCTTTCTTTAGGGAAGACGTGTTTAGAACCCAAAATGTAAAAACAGATCAATGCAGAGCTTCTTAGGCTGAGGCATGGGTGGTGGTCTGAGGGAAGACAAAGAAACTCTGGGAAATCAGTGAAAACTGCTCAAAGGCTACTGCCTAAATAAAAACTTAACTAGGAAAATAAACACATTGGTAATAATAATGTAAGGCCAAATTAAAATGACTAGCCATCTCTATTCTAGATTGTTGAAACTACTGCTTGCTTTCATTAGCACAATCAAATGTTAAATGTGTATTATTCTGCTATATGTATTTACTCTGAAATAAAGATTATAAGTGAGTTATTGGGCACTGAATATATTCTAGGACCTGTGATAGTATGTCTTATAGATTCTCTTGTTTAATCTTCACAACAACCCTTGTGAGGTAGGTGTGATTTTAATCGCTATTTTACAGATAAGGAAATGAGCAAAGTTAAGGAACTTGTGCAAGCTCACACAGTTAGTAATTGGGGAGCTAGGATTGGATCTACACACTATAGGTTGGGCTCTGGTAACACAAGTGTCTCATAATTGAAAGATTTTCTGGACTCCCTCAAAAGAAGAATGTCCCAATCTTAGTCTATGCACCCCTGGGTAATACCCAGGCAGTGACAACAGGCTTCTAACTATATCCAAAGAGGGACAGAGGACTCTGGTGGTGTGTGGAAGGGACAAGAGAGAGCAGAAGGGGAAGGTCAGGGGAAGACCCAAACCAGAGGTGATTTAACAGTGATGCTAATGAAGCTTAAGTTGCAAGGCCCCTCAATTACAGATGCATGCTGGGAGTTGAACAGTGTTCTGGTGGGAGAGAGGCCAGGCTGCAGTCAGAAAGCTCTTCCGGGTAACACTGATGATAACCTGCCTAAACAGGAAAGGGACCAGAATCTTGAAGGTTTCAATATTTTGTTCTGATTTGATTTTTCATTCTAAGCAAATATTCACTTTTGTACCTAATTTTGTATTCATAACTTTGTATTCTTTTAAGTAGAGTCCGTAAAATTGTATAACTTTTGGGCTCCACAAAACTTGGAACCCCCCCCTGTACATTTCTGTAACTTCGTTTTTCAAAACTCTCCACAGTTTAACCTAAACCTTGCAAATCGATCAGTTCAGTGGTTCTCCAACTATGGTTGGCATCAGAATCACCAGGCAAGATGGTAAAATTTAAAAGGTCAGGCCGTAACCTACTTGAATGAGCCAGGGTGGCTGTGTCCTTCATGAGCTCTCTAGGTCATGATGATACATACCAGTTTGAGAACCTCCACAGGTCACTGTTTCTCAAAGTATGATTCAAGGCCCACTGATGGTCAGGAGAATTTCCTGACCTCAGGATCAAGTCCTTTCTTCAGTTCTTATGATCAAATGATGCTCAGATCCACAGACTCATTTTTACATGGCAATAAGAACTCATTACTAGTAACCTACTGACTTATTAAGGGTTACTAATTGATATTCATAAACGAAACTTGGCACATTTACTAGTGTTTATTGGGACATTTCCACTAAGAAGTCTGGCTGCTGTGCACCACTTGGCAGTGTTTCAAAGCTCTAGTGCAAATGCACAGGAGCAGATAATCGTATTCCTACCA